GTAGTATGTATCGCTTTTCTTCCTTCTAGAATGTGTATGTGGGGCCGAATTCAGGAAAAGGTTTTGGAAAAAGACTCATACGCCGCTGTGCAATTTCAACTTGTTGTCTAGACAAGTTCAGTACTACAATGCAGAAGTACAAGTGCCCCCTGGTAGCTTGGGGTTGGTTGATGCCCCAAGGTGGGTGGATCCAGTGAATGATTTTGCTGCTACTTGTTTATGTGCATGCGCAAAAAGAAAAGCAGCGTCGGACAAAATCCCCAGAAGCCACAAGTTGCCAGGGCTCGTAAACCCTAGTCACCAAAAGTTTGCACAAGCAGGCATGTAGAGCGCCTACAACACGGACTGTAGCATATTGGGGTCTGAAAAGCTTTTTAGAGGGCTTTGTACACAACAGATCTATCAGGTGCAGCTTGGACAGGACTCGCTGACAGGGTTGTGTTGAGTACAGTGTACGGTGAGGGATGGGAGGGGCAGGTAGTCTGGCGTCTCTGCCGAAATTCCCTCAGGGGCCTTGAGGAAAGAAAGGTGTTCAGCCGGGATGGAATGGCATCGGCGTCAATTCCAGCTGAAAACTAAAGCCCAGTTCATGAGGAGCTCGGGCGTTCTTCAGAATGGGGGGTACTATATAATGCTGGGGGACTTGAGATTTCGGAGTCCGGCTTTGAACTTAACCAAGTTTTGAAGCCTGATGGTTCTATCTCCTCTTAACGGTGCTTAAAGGAGACTGGCGGAGTGGATCCATATGATGTGGTACCTATATTCATTCCCCGTCTCTTTTTTGGGGTCTACATTGCGATCTCCTTATTTTGGGAAACTACCACATATACCCCTATAGTGGTACCCATATTCACTCCCCCGTTCCCACTTAAGCACAAGGAGGGTCTGCAAGTACTACGTGGGGTTTTCCCAGAAATAGGAATACTTGTTTTGGAGGTCCCAATAATAAGGACTGTAGCACATGGGGGTCTATACAAAGATCTCCCTTTTCAGGGAAACTATTAGTGAGATTTGCTTTGTTGGTAAGACGGTCATTAGACTGCCAGCCGTGTCATGCTGGCTGAACTGCCCGATGCAGGCTCACAAGCTACCAATTTGAAAGCATTCTGCTGCTTTCTAAAAAGTCAGTGACTTCAGTTTGGAGCATATGGCATATGAGTACCTCCTGCACGTTAACCTTGAGCCTCCTCCCTAAGTTCTTGAGCCCACGCAAGCTCTGCAGCCCATACTACTGAAGCTCTGCTGGAATCTGTGGTCACATGACCTAAGGACAAGTCGCAGACGCTGCTCATTTTCGACTGGGACGACACTCTGTTTCCCACAACGTATCTCCGTGGCATCTGTCGAATTCATCATAGCACAAGCATGCACCTCCGATTCATAGCCGAAGAATAGATGGAAGATGGGTCAAACAATTTAACTGGACTGGGTGGAATCATAAGCTGTTAGGAGTTACAATACAACCCCCCCCCCCTGAAATGTACCCCTTCCCCAGGGTTTCAGGAACTAAAAAGGACTATGTGGAGCTTGATAAGGCCTAATAGGGTTCTAAATTTGGGGGCGGGGTACATTTGGGAGGGGTACATGTCTATCTCCTGAAAGCTGGCATGGCAAGTTGGAGCCTCCCTTGATTGACAAGGAATCTGTCGGTCAGGTTGTTAGGGAAGAGGATTACAACCTTGGCTCATCCCCGTCCCCATTGACGCAAATTTAACCGGACTTCTCATGTCACCGGACTCTGTGTGGGAACGACGCTTTGAGCATTCGATTTGTATGTCACCAGACAGAAAAATCCTAAATGAAATCAGATGAAATCCGATAATCCGATAGCGTTGTGAAACATGCCTGCATACGTCTGGCAATTTCGAACCCAGTCTCGGCTGGAAGTCTGGTATCGACATGAGGGTCATCAGAGAAAGGTGGAACTCTGAAAAAATGAGGCGGGTCTTAGATGCATTGTTTCTACGCCAGTCTCAGGTATTGAGCAAGACCCTGACATCAATGCACTCCATTTTGGGCTCTTACAATTGCATGCTTAGGTTTCACGGCATTGTCGGCCAGTGTCAAAGACACAGTTTAGGGACATAACAGTAAGGGCGCAACCCTGCACATTTTGATATGCGGTATCCCACCGAAAACAGCAATCGCAGGTATGTGCGTGACGACCTGGATCTAAGCTTCCCAGCAGCACTAATCACTGATCCCTTCATGCATTGTGGGAAGATTATTATTCTCTTGGAGGCGGGGGGTTTTATGGGTATTATAAAGGGGAGGTGAGCATGAAACCAAATCAAGCCGTTTGCATGTCCAAAAGCATCCCATACATACTTCACATGTGGGAACACCTGATCTCCCAGTACTTCCCACATATCTCCTCGGGGTGCGAGGGCGTCCCTGTAACGAGAGAAAATCACACATCCATCCTCGTTGATTGACAAGTGTGTTTTAGTTTGTGCTTGCTAACTTTGGTACACCTGCTTACAGCTGATGCTAATCCTGAGCAATCCTTCCTTCCTATCGCCTTAAGCCTTAAAATGCCCCCCACCTCAGCACTAAGTTCTATTTGTAAGAGGTCTTATATGCTGAGGGGCATGGTTCAATCAGGATGCACCCGAAAGCTTAAATCCCCAAGCCAAAAGACTCCGTCCCTCTCCCTCTATGAGACTTCGCCCATTCCAAGTTTCACGGCTGAAACGACAAGGTGCTCAGCCGTTCGGATGACCAAGTCACACCTCTAGAGTGTCTCCTGGATCCCGAAAGTAGATAAAGCCTATGCATGTATCTGGCATTTGACTGGGTCATCTTACGAGAAGAAAATCGCATTGCCAATCCTCACTGGCTCCCTACTGGAGCTTGAGCGCCTCGAGCGCCCATGTCAGCAACTCAGCACCACATCTTCATGGTGCCAGTCATGGCTTGCAGCACCTAACGGAACACGAGCTTCAGATTCTTCAACCATGTGCTACACATAAGGCTCCAGCTTCAGGTTCCAAATGCATCTTAAACCAGAGCAAGACTGTAGGGTTTAGGGTTTAAGGGTTTAGGGTTTAAGGGTTCAGGGTTTAGGGGTTAAGGGGTTTAGGATTTGGGGTGTAGTCAACCCTCCTCTATGCGTCGCATCCTTTCTACTTCCTCAACATTTGGATGGCTTTCTCAGAAACAATCGCAAGCTTGTAGAGTAGAACACGGGTTCTTATGCCTCGTTTCCCGACATATTGCTAGTTCTCAAACTCCGACTTGTATTGTACTACTTCAAAAGAGCTTCTGGGACTTCCTCATATGAGCCATAGTCTAAACTCCCAGTATCCCCCTTAGTTTCCCCTGTAGTAGGCCCCTATACAATCCCCCATACAACACCTTTTAATTAAGGAATTCAGACTATGGCTCATATGCTCCCCATATAATCCCCTCCCGCAAGGAGAAAGCGCCACCCAGCCTTATAACGAATCTTCCTCATAAAGTACCATTATATGATAGGCGAACATCTGTTCTTAGTGGTGATTATTTTTAGGAAGATTATTCCTGTGCTCCCTGGGTCACCCTTTTTTCGGAGTCATGGGTATTCCAAAACCCCTAAACCCTAAACCCTGAAGCACGCAGCGTAAGGTTGGAACAAGCCCCTCAAGGAGCAAGCGCTGACTTGGTCAGAGAAGGAACCACTTGATAGGGTTTAAGGGTTTTAGGGCAAAAGGGTTTAAGGGTTCTAGGGTAAAAGGGTGTAGGGTTTAAGGGTTTTAGGGTAAAAGGCTTTAGGGTTAAGGGTGTTGGAAACAGTGATTTCGCCGGTGTCAGTGCTTATAGTCCCCCTTAAGTAGATAGAATATGGGGATCTTCTTACAAGATCTCCACCCATATTCTATCTACTTAAGGGAGGGGGACTATAGGGCCGTGGGTTTTTGATAAGGTTATTTCAAGTTCTTTCGATTAGTGAAGCTCAGGCCTCGGGTAACTCGGAAACTTAGTGCATGCAAAGGTGTTCGTTCCTAGGCATTGCTGTATACCCTGCATTCAGACGTCTATTCTGCTCGTAATCCATCACTTGTTTGCACAATCAAGACAGCTTCAGGTGCTCGGCCCTAGGGATTTGCTAGTATGGAGAGATAATGGCTGCGGGCAGGGGCTAAGGAAAATGCCGTCGGCGATTGAGCTGCTTGTGATTTCGTTCTCAGTTTGAAGCAATTCGAAGCGGGCTTGACCTCAGCAATGGAAACCACGTTTAAACGGGGGCTACCATAGTGCAGAGATTCTTACCTCCATGCCCTGCCAGCAACCAGTAGTTAACACTACACCTTACCTTTTTTTTTTTCCGCTCGCTTCAGCCGGAGGAAATGACTAGTCTTTAGCTCAACTGCACGACTTTGCCTCCACAAATTATGTTCCAATCGTGCTTGTTCGGCGGGTAGATAGGAGATGTTTCCTCTTAGGAGGGTGTTTGTATGTCCATAGGCCCAACAATTGCAAAAGGCAGACGTTGGGAAGAAGCTCGACCAGTGCGCTGCCCATGTCGCACCTGTGCCGCCGTTAGTTTTGGAGGCGTAAGCTCGGCACTATTACGGTTTAGGGCCTAGGCTGGAGCAATTTAGATTCCCGAAAGACGCTGAGTACTTGTCGTAATTGATCCCTGTACAATTGCTGGGGAGGCCCCATAATCCCTTTGCGATCCGTATATATTCCCTGGAGTCCCTCAGGTTCCACGTTTTGAGAGAAACACTTATACGGCCACGATGGACTGGAACAGAGCATGGAAACTAGTACAGTGTGGGGGACTATGTAGGGGATGCCAGTAGGACCAGCTAATGACGACAAGCAAGACATACGTGCTTGTTGCATAAACCCCACTTGCAACTAAAAAGCCACGAAGGCTGGCACGCGATCTAGGACTATGTCTAAATCATGAATACACGACCTTCAAGGAGACCCCGGCAACCTCCCTGAAATCCCCACATTCCCTAGAGCACCTCTAATCAAAACAACATCTGTTCCATTTCGGGACATCTCAGGTAGAGCTCTTGAAGAGCGCTTGCAGCTTTGGCAAAGTTGTTCTGGTCACACTGGCGCGTGCGCCCTGGGTCTCTGAATCCTGCAAGTCGCTGGGCCTAACCCTAAACCCTAGACCCTAATAGCATTTGTAGAGTTACGCTCACAAGGCATGGAACTAGCGTAGCCCCCCGGCAGGTTCTGTAGAGGTCCCTTGTTGGGTCTCCATGCTTGTGTTGGAGGGAAGTCAAATATTGTTTCTAGGAGCAAGGCTCCTGTAGAGCAGCATTGCTTACATTCTCAACATGACGGCATTGAGTCCTGATGAGTGAGTCCCTGAAGGAATACGTATGTAAGGGGGATCCCTCTTTTTGTAAACCCTCAGCTACAGCTGGATCCAAAGAGGTCTGAAAGGCTCAAGGCTGTAGGGCAGGCAACCTAGGGGTGCAGCGTTTTGGGGGCCTTAGTTGCCCAAACTGTCCAAGCTCACATGGGGGTGCAGTAGTGAGGGATTCCTTCTGAATCTTTTGGGTCCCCAAAATGAAAATTGATTTTCGTGAATGCGGTCTATATTTAGGGGCACCTATTTTTCGAAACCCCCACATGTCTTATCAGTCAAAAGTCTCCAAGGCCGAGTCGTTAACCTGCATGTGGCATACTACGGTGGGGGATCTGTTTTCCTGGTGTGCTATAGCCCCGTCAGGTAGATATGATATGGAGGTCCCATACACCCCATACTCTATCTACTTCAGGGGAACCTATAGGTTGAAATACGATAAATTGCGGTAGTACCCCGATCCACATCCCGCGATTGGCTCACCAACCTTTTGGATCCCGCAGTATTATATAGTCACCCTTAAGTAGATAGAATATGGGGCATATGGGGATCTTATTATAATGTTGGGCAATTCCATATTCTATCTACCTACGGGGGACTATACACGCACTATCCAAATTCTTTTTCTCACTTTGGAGGCTTCCTCATAAAACAAAAACTGGGGCAGGTGTCAAGCAAGAGACCAATGAGTCGTCAAAGCAACCTTCAGGCCCTGAGGCCTTGAATCCCTCAAGGAAGCCTGAAATCATTAGTGCTTAAGGGAGAGCGGGGGATCCCTATACTGCACCGTAATGGTGCCTACATTGCACCATTTGGGAAATCTGAGGAACTTCTACGTATCCGTGGGTCGACTCATCAACCAGTTAAAGGCCAGGGCAAATCTGCAGACTTTGCTCGTGTGTATCCCACTATGTCAGTTGGGTGTTCCCTAAAAATAAGGAGCATTGTTTTGGGGGTTCCTATAGTAAGGGTTATAGTTATAGTACATTGGGGTTTATATTGGGTTCCCCAAAAATCTGGAAACCACCACTTGTGGCTGTGAAGCCAGAGCTGACAACATCGTGCATAACCATCCAACCAAAATACACTGGGAGGTAAACTTTGGGGAGCTGCTTCGTAAGATTTGGTCTGTTTGAAATTAAAAGCTCGCAAGGCATGGCTTCTTAATCAGGACCACCGTAGCAGAAGAGAATGGTTCTTCGTCAAATGCCCGCCTGGTGCGAGAGCCAGCGAACGCCCGAGATCGAGAACGTGAGAGTGAGCCTGTACAAGCAGCTTACCTGCTCCTCACGAGCTGCTTACAAGCTGTTTACGAGCTGCTTAGAGGGGCCCCCGCCAGCTGCTTACGAGCTGCTTTACAAGCTGCTTATGGCCCCCCGAAAGCTTCCAAGCTGCATTCGGTCCCCCGCCAGCGTGTCAACCCCCCGCCCGCCCCTTCGTGCACGAGTTTCTGAGCCACATCATGTTGAGGCTTCCAGGTTTCAGGTGTAGGCTTTTGTAAGGTCCGAAAAGAGCTTACGAGGCTGCTGCCGACTTTTGACTTACGAGCTGCTTACGTGCCGCTTCCGGAGTTCCTACCTTACCTTACCTGCCACTCCCGAGCCAAACCCCAGAAGCCTTCTTACGAGATGACGCCCCCAACT